AATAGGTACAGAAAAAAACATTTGATATAACTCATCATCCCTTCATTATAACTCTGAACAAATTAAGAATGAGCCCACTTTAAGGAAGGTGATATATGACAAATACATAGCCAATAACACACTGAATGAGGAAATGCTAAAAGTATTCCTCCTCTAAGTTTTGAAATAAGGCAAAAATGACATTCACTGTCATTCTAATTTAATATAGTTCTGAAAGGTTTTTTTTTTGGCCAGTCCTAGTGCTTGAACTCTGGCCTGGGCACTGTCCCTGAGCTCCTTTTTGCTCAAGGGTAGCGCTTGCTGGACCACTTGAGCCACAATGCTGCTTCTAGCACTTTTGTTTTGGTGATTAATTGGAGATAAGAGTCTCACGGACTTTCCTGCCTGGGCTGGCTTCAAACCGCAATCCTCTGATCTCAGCCTCTTGAGTAGGTAGGATTACAGGCATGAGCCACCAGTGCCTAGCAGTTCTGAAAGTTTTAATCAAAGCAATTATAGGCAAGAAATAAGCCATACACACAGAAAGTTATTATCCCTGTTTGCAAATGATGACTCTACATTAAAAAAAAATCCTGCTGGGAAGTTGGCTCAGTGGTAGAGCGCTTGCCTTGCATGCCTGAGGCCCTGGGTTCTATTCCTCAGCACCACATAAGCAAAAAGAAAAAAGCTAGAAGTGGCGCTGTGGCTCAAGTGGCAGGGCACTAGCCTTGAGCTGAAGAGCTGAGAGACAGCACTCAGGCCCAGAGTTCAGGCCCCACGACCAGACCAAAAAAAAAAAAAAAAAATCCTTGATATGCTATCAAAGACTAGAGAACTGATAAATTTAGAAAAGTTACAAGACACACACACACACACACACACAAATCAACACGCAAAACTCAGCACTACAAACGGGTGACGGTGGCTCACGCCTGTAATCCTAGCTACTCAGGAGGTTCGGGTCTGAGGATTGCGGTTCAAAAGCCAGCCTGGGCAGGAAAGGCTGAGAAACTCTTATTTCCAATTAACCACCAGAAAACCGAAAGTGGCGCTGTGGCTCAAGTGGTAGTGCTCTCCTTGAGCTGAAGAGCTGAGGGACAGCGTCCAGGCCCAAAGTTCAAGCCTCATGAACGACAAAAAACAAACAAAAAAACCCCTCAGCACTACCAGTAATTAATTGTCTTAAAAAGGCCAAAAGTGGAGCGGTGGCTCAAGTGGCAGAGCACTAGCTTAGAGCAAAAACAAGCTCAAGACAGTGCCCAGGCCCTGAGTTCAAGCTCCAGGACCAGTACATCCACGTATGTGCATGCACACGCGCGCGGACACACACACACACACACACACACACAAAATCATAAAAGCAATCTCACTCGTAATAGCTACAAAATAATTAAATGCCGATGAACAAATTTAATCAAGAAAAGGACATACTTCTGCAATGAAAATTGCAAAGCAGGTGGGTACCAGTGTCTCACATGTGTAATCATAGATACTCAAGAGGCTGAGATGTTAGGCTTGTAATTCAAAGTCAGCCCCAGCACCAAGTTCATGAGACTCTTATCTCCAAATAAACACCAGAACACCAGAAAGCCAGAAATGAAGATATGGCTCATGTGGTACAGTGCTGCCAGCCTTGAGTGAAAAAGGTAAGGGAAAATGCACAGGCCCCAAGGTCAAGCCCCAGTATTGGTGCATGGGCATACCCACACCCACACAATTGCAAGATGAAAATTAAAGCAACTAAAGAAACAAAATCACATATTGGGAAAATTAAAATTATTAACTTCCATATTCAAAGCAATTTACGGATTGATGTAACCTATAAATACCAATGATATTATTTACAACATTAGAAAAAAAATCTTAATTTATAGAAATTACGACAAAACCACAGCCATAGAAGCCTATATCAAATGAGCAAAGCGGAGGAATAGTAGTTCCTGGTTTCAAGATATACTACACAGTCAGAGTAACCAAAACAGGATGGAACAAACATAAAAACACACTAGAAGCAGGGTAGCTCACAAATGTAATACTAGCTACTCAGGAGGCTGAGATCTGAGGATTGCAGTTCACAGCCAGCCCAGGCAGAAAAGTCCCAGTGAGACTCGTCTCCAGTTAACCACTCAAAAACCAGAAGTGGCACTGTGGCTCAAGTGGTAAAAGCGCTAGCCTTGAGCACAAAGAGGCTTAGGGACAGAGCCCAGGCCCTGAATTCAAGCCCCACAACCAACAAAAAGAAAGAAAACAGACATAAAAACCAACAGAAGAGAACAAAGATCTCAGAAATAAACCTACACATCTATAGCCAACAGATTCTCAACACATGTGCAAAAAACATTGTAGGAAGGACAGCCCTTCAATAAATAGTGCCAGAAAAACTGATATCCAATTTCTGAAATGACCTCTATTTCTCATCCTATACAAAAATCAACTCAAAATCGATCAGAGACTTAAAATGTAATCTGAAACTCTGAAAACTAACAGAAGAAATCACAAGGGAAAGATGACATCAATAACCAGCGCTTAGATACAATCCTAAAAGCACAAGCAGCAAAAGCAAAAGCAGATGAATAGCATTATAAAAAACTAAGTTTCTACACAATAAAGAAACAATCAACAGGGTGAAGGGGAGAAATAAATGGACAACTACTCATCTGACAGGACTAATAATATCTAGAACACATAAGGAACTCAAAAACCAAAAATACAAGCTATTTAAAATGGGTAAATCATCTGAACATTTCTCAGAAAACAAAAATGGCTAACATATGAACATCAAAATCCTCAGAAATAATCTCATTCTTCTTAGGATGGCTACTATCAAGAAGACAACTCTCATATACCATGGGCCAGCATGTAAATCAGTAGAGTCATTATGCAAGATAGTATAGATTCATAAAAAATAAAAATAGTTGATACTGTGGCACACTCACATATATACCACACGGGCAAGAGGACAGGAAGTCTGAGGCCAGCCTGGGTAATGAGCTATACCATTCCTTGGTAAACATCCCAAAGAAATCAGCATACAGAATAAATACTGAATGGCCATGTTTATTGTGGCATTATTCACAACGGTTAAGATACAGAATTGACCTAGGGACTCATCAGTGGATGAATAAAGAAAATAGAGTATTATTTAGTCATAAAGAATAAGTCCTATTCATTGTAGCAAAACAGAGAAACTTAATTATAGTAAGGAAAGTTGGACACAGAAAGAAAAGTACCAAATACTTGCTTTAATATGTGGAAACTAAAATAACAGTTGGTCCGAACATAAAATACTAAGAGTTAATAACTCCTGATTACTAAGGGTTGGGAAGTTGAAGGGCACTTAGGGAAGGAGAGACAAAATAAGTTGGATTTGATTAGTGCATACTTTATGCAAGCATCAATACAGAACATAGAATCCTATTTATTAATTATAGATACATATTACTTATGTAATACAACAAAACAAGTTAGTTTAAATAGTGGCATGTCAATAATAATGAAAACAGAAATTGAAGCTACTGTGGCTCTGAATTGGGGAAAATTGTGGGATTATTATTTATTGACAGAAATAGGATGTATCCAATCAATGAAACTAGGCAAATGTGAAAAAAAAATCTTTAGAAGTTGCCTTAAATAATTCTTATTCCTGTACAAATAAATTTTATTCTTCTTTAATCCTAACACAGAAGGAATACATTCCTGCTTCTGACAACCAAAAGAACTAAACATGCTCTTGTGACTTTTCCTAAAGTCAACACTCCCACTTATCCTTCATCTTATAATGTTATTTTTTGTCAGTCCTGGGGCTTGAACTCTGGGCTTGGGCGCTATCCCTCAGCTCTTCAGCACAAGGCAAGTGCTCTACCACTTGAGCCATAGCGCCACTTCCTATTTTCAGTGGTTTATTGGAGATAAGAGTCTCACAGATTTTCCTGCCCAGGGTTGGCTTTGAACCGCGAACCTCATATCTCAGTCTGATGAGTAGCTAGGATTACAGGCATGAGCCACTGGTGCCCGGCCTTCATCTTATAATTTAAACACAGACAAACAAAAGAGAAAAAACTACAGTAACTGCTTATACTTTGGGAATGAATCTCCGACAATTGCTGTTTTTGAGGGAAACTCTTCCCTGGAGATAGAGAGGTAACACAGTAACCGAACACTTGACTAGTATATAGGAAGGCCTGTGTTCGATTTTTCAACACAACATGAACACACGCACGCAAACATACACATATACACTTATTCTTAGATTATGTTCCTTTTTAATTTAACTACTTACTAGTCTAAAACAAGAGCCTGTGTACAGCTACAAGGGTAAAGATTTCTAAAGAAATAGCTTATTTTCTAGTGTTACAAAAAGCTACTATTTCATCCAGTTTCTGGTAGCCCATGCTTTAAAAAAAATCCTAGCTACTCAGGAGAATGAAATCAGACAAATTTGCAAAGCCAGCCAGGGCAGAAAAGTCCATATGACTGTCTCAAAACCAAAACCAAACAAAAAACAGTGAAAGCAGGATTGAGGGTATAGCTCAAGTGTAGAGCACCTGTGGAAGAAGAAAGTTGATCAAGTGTGAGTGTGAGGCTGACCCCAAAGTACTAAAAAGATATTTTGTTTGTATGTGAAAACACACATTCAGCACTTACATAATATATGTTAGTGGAGAAATATGCATCTGTTCTACAACTGAAGGGAAGAGCTTCCATGTTTTTATTTGTTTATATACCTTATAGTATACCAGGAACTCCCCAGGAGTCTACTACCTGAGTTCTCACACTAGTAAGTACTAGGTAAATACTTTTTGTTATATTACTTAAACAACAAAGGCTGAAAACAAAAACACCTCTTTGATAAGAGGATTTAACTCTAAATAACCCAGTCACATAGAAGTACTTAGTACATTTACCTGCACCAAACATTTATCTGTGGAGAACAATTATTAATATTGGCAAAAACAAATGTCAAAGACACTATATGTATGAAAATTAAGGAAGAGGCTTGAAATATTTCTAAATGTACTCACAGAAAGGTAGCTATTAATGTCCACATCATCAGTTATGGTTTGACGCTCTCCTTTATAGTTAATTTTCCGAAACCTTCGTCGAGACTGTCTGGCAGGAATTTCTCTTTGTAGAATACTATCTTCATTATCTTTGGAATTCTCTACCTGAAACACATGTTCACATTCCTGATTAAATATCCAGTTGTTCCATGTTAAAGATAGTCTATGAAGTCTTAACAGGTTCATAAGGAAGCTTCATTTACTTCTGCCATGAAACTGAATCAAAACGCCACATAAGACAATGTGAGTTAAAAATGATTAGACGATGTTATTATAGAGATCTGGAGACCACAGTTTCCTCTCAGGAAACTGTCTCTTTTGCACACATAAACATATATCCTCTAAGTAGTCTCTTACCAGAAATGAAAGCTGTCGACTACACCTACACATTCAACAATTACAAGTTATAAATTATACCAATTATAAACTTCTTGATTACTTATTTTACTTAGAAAATGATTATGGTTAAGATTTTAGTGAACTGTTTAAAAAGTGGAAACAAAGACACTTTTACTCTATACCCTAATACCCCAAAGATTAGTGACTTTGTAGGCTCACAACAGTGATCGTTTTTCAGCTGCTTTTGGTTTTATGGTTGTTTGGTTTGGGTTATGTGTGCCTTGCTGGAGATCAAACTCAGAGCCTTGACAATACAACCCTGAGCTGCATCCCCTGTCCTACAACAATCCTTATAAAAGCTAAATTGACAGGCCTATCTATCTTCAAAGTGTGTGCTGCTGATATATGATTGTACTGCTATACTTTCACAGACTACAGCATTACTTTAAAAATAAAGTATCTGTAGAAGAGTTGCTTCAGGTTTGAAAGCTAAAGAGTCAGAACCACATAGCCAAATGACCACAGGCAGAAACTATGAGCCATATTAAATCCACAGTGACTACTATTAAATCCAAAGGCTGACTACACAACTAGGCAACAATAGGAATTACATTTGGATACACTGAAGACTCACAAATATATTTGCTTCTTTTGTTTAGATTTAAGTCTGAGTAGCCCAGACTGGCCACAAACTAAAAATCCTCCTGCTTCAGCCCCCCAAGTGTTAGAATTCCACTCTTGAAATACTACACCTGGATTAGCTTCAGATATTTTTAAGAAGGAATTTAAAAATAGCCAGGATTAGCAAACCCCACATGCTATTTCCAAAGGAGTAGGGGTACATCTTAAGTAAAAATTTTACTATAAAAGAGAACAAAGCAACAAGAGTAGAAAAAAGTAAAACAAATACAAAGCCTGTAATGTGATAGAAGTAAATCCAAGCCTATCAGCCACCAAAGAATATAAGTAGAAGAGTTTCCCCAAGTTAGAAAATATAGAAGAGCAAACAGACTTTAAGTAATAACACTCACAGAATACTAATGTAATGACAGAAAAGCAGAAAAAATTAAAATTACATATTAAACATCTCATTAAGAAACTGAAGCTGGGCGTCGGTGGTTCACGCCTGTAATCCTCGCTACTCAGGAGGCTGAGATCTGAGGATCACAGTTCAAAGCCAGCCCAGGCAGGAAAGTCCGTGAGACTCATCTCCAATAAACCACTAGAAAACCAGAAGTGGCGCTGTGGCTCAAGCAGTAGAGCACTCGCCTTGAGCTGAAGAGCCCAGGGACAGCGTCCAAGCCCAGAGTTCAAGCCCCCAGCCGACCAAAAAGAAAAAAGAAGAAATTGAGACCAGAATATAAGCAAAATAAAGATTTAACAAAGCTTAGGCTGAGCTTTCATTGGGAATGCAAGTTTAATGTTAGAAAACTCTAGTAAAGTAAAATCATACTAAGAGATTAAGGAAGAAAAAGCCATAAATCACCATAAGAAATGCAGAATTTTTTTTTTTGGTAAGTTTCAGTATCCTAATAAAAATACTTAGTAATGTTTTTTATATTTAAGGTAACCCCTTTTAAGGTACTATGAACTTTTGACAAATTCAGTAATTTTTTAAATCTCCTTGCTCCCTGACATGAGAAATTTCTGCCTAATACATTTCCTGCACTACACCTGATATAAACTATTTATTCCTAGAGGCTCAATCTTATTAGTGACAGAATGGTATTTAATCACCATAGCCTGGGCTCTATATCCACTAAGAATAGTTTTAAATAGTTGGTTATCACACTGCTCCCAAGCTTTTGTCCTAAAAAGTACATTTTTTCTTACAGTGGAATAACTTGACAAATACTTATTTTCTCAATGTGTCCAGCACTGTTTAATATGCTTTATTAAATTTTATTTTCACAGTGGCATTAAAATTAAGACTTAACAAACCTGGTAGAAAATAAAGAAACAGAGGTAAGGCAATAAGAATTAATGAATGCTAGAAGGATAAGGATAGAGATAACAGTGAGCACATACTTTGAACACTAGAATAATTTCTGATCTAGACAAATGTGTAAAGAAATGGAGTAACATTTATAAACTCAACTGTGTGCATTAGAGTCCTCCTCTCTCCTAGATCTCTTTTTCATCAGGGATCAATTCTAATGGGTTGTTGTCCATTTTTTCTTCTTCCTCCTTCCTCCTCTTCCTCCCCCTTTTGCTTTCAGCACCCTCCTTAAATTCCATCTTCACATTTAGTTTTACCTTTCTTCAAAGAATCAGGCTTTACTTCTCTTCTGACATTATTCTTCATCTTCTCTTGTTTTGTTCCCCCAGTCTTTCCAGAGGGGGAAATCACTCTTGTTTGATCTAGATGATCTCTTTTCAGCCTTCCAAACTTGGCAGATACTCACTGTCCACTGTTAGAATTGAAGCCATTTTTGCCTCCTTTGTGAAATATCTTCCAATATATACTGGCATTTAGAGGGCACTCTAACCTGAGCAACAGGAGGAGGGAGTTTCCGTACATCCTGCCACAATAATCCCATTTAAAGTTATATAGTACAAGTCAAACTAGGAACCAGACAGATCATTTTACACCTGCTTTCCCCAGTTCACTTTGGCTTTATAGATAGATACATATCACAAATCTGGCCTGCAATCCTCTCACCATGTTTTCCTGATATAGAAGCTTGGGCATTTCAATAACACACTGAGTAGAGGCAGAGCCCTTATGAACACAGCAACTCCTAATTTTTACACATTTCCGGAGTTCCTTCACATCACACTTCACACATACATTAGATTCCTAATGAATACAGAGGAGTTCACAGAGTAAGAATCGAACAGGTAATATATTAATAGCCATCATGTTAATAAAACTAGTAACTATGACAGATGCTGGGAACTCATACTTGTAATCTTAGCTACTCAGGAGGCTGAGACTTTGAAAGACTGTGGTTTGAAGGCAAGCAAAACAGGAAAGTCTACAAGATGCCATCTTCCAAATCATCAACAAAAAAGGTTGGGCTCATATGGCAGAGCACCAGTCAAGGAAGCAGGCTGAATGAGCAAAAGAAGCCAAGTTCAAACCCTAGTACCACCAGACCAGACCAAAACAAAACAAAACAAAACAGAGCAGCTGGGTATCAAAAACATTTCCCTCAAGCAAGGTGGTACCAGGGTCTATGTGCAGAGCCCACCACTTCTCAGCCACAACATGGCTATAACTGGTCAGTCTTCATTTCTTCACAACATCTACTTAGTAAATTTACTGATTTTTTTAATTGACTGTAATTCAATTATACCTATTTGGCCCAATGTGTAATAATCCAATCAGGGTAGTAAATACTTCTAAGAAAAAAAGGCGAGCTGGGAAGGTGGCTCAGTGGTAGCACTTGCCTTGCATGCTCGAGACCCTGGGTTTGATTCCTCAGCACCACATAAGAAAAAAGCCGGAAGTGGCACTGTGGCTCAAGTGGTAGAGTGCTAGCCTTGAGCTGAAGAGCTGAGGGACAGCACCCAGGCCCAGAGTTCAGGCCCCATGACCAGGCCCCCCCCCCCAAAAAAAAAGAAAAAAAAGGCACGTCTTGATGTTGACATTCTGTATTAAATTTTAGACTAGAGTTTTAACATCTTTGATTTTATAACTCTTTTATGCTATTTAAAGATGCTATGTTAGCAAGATGCTGAAATGGGGCCAAGAGGACAGGAGTAAAAGAAGTAGAGAAGTGAAGAGAATACAGCCAAGAATTCACTGTACATACCACAGAACTGAGAAATATAAGGGAAGAGGTGGGCTGAAGGGGAGGGGAAGATGTTGAAGTGGTAATACAGATCAAGGTGCATTGTACACATAAACTGCTTTGTTAAAAGGTAAAAAATTCAATACGTGACCTAAAATTAAGGTAAATAAGGGAAGAGGTGGGTTGGGACAGTGAATGAGAATGTTGAAAGGGTTAACAGTGATCAAGACGCACTGTATTTGTAAACTGCTTCGGTGAATGGCAACTTGAAGATAATAAAAATTTTCAAGTTAGAAGGTAAACCAAAATAATGATCGCATGAAATCCGAAGAAGCTCTTTAGGTTCAGTTAAGTAATTATGTCACAAGGTCTTTTAAAATATAATTCTAAAGCAAACATGTCAAATTAAATTAGAGTGATCAAGAAAGTGTTCAACAAAAGATATCTCCAGTCACCAGTTGGATTACTCAAATTTGTATATATACATGAAGCTATTTCATAAACACATGGATCAAGCATCGTTCAAAATTCTAAATATGTCCTACTATATTTTGTTGTTCAATGCAAAGCATTTTAAGCAATACTGAATGCTCACGAAACAGTTCTGGAATTTAAAAATTACTAACCACAATGGTGGTGGTAATGGCTACAATATGGCTAAAATATCTGAAGGTATGTTTCTTGACCTTGAACTATATATTAGCATGTAATTCCTAAAAGTAAGTGCAGTTATCAAAATCAGGGAATTCAGTGTTATCTAATCTGCAATCCATATTCAAATTTTATCAGTAACACCAGTATCATTTATAATTATCTCAATTATTCAGTATTAAATAAGATCAAGCATTTTATTTACTTGTTACTTTTCTCTTTTCTCACTTCATGTTGAACTATTTCTTAATCTTTCTATGTACATCTTGACATTGGAATATTTAAAGTGTATAGTCCATGCTGGGCGCTGGTGGCTCATGCTTATAATCTTAGTACTCAGGAGGCTAAGATCTGAGGAATCTCGGTTCAAAGCTAGCCTGGGCAGGAAAGTCCATAAGACTCCTATTTCCAATTAATCACCAGAAAACCAGATGTAGCACTGTGGATCAAAGTTGTAGAGTGCTAGCCTTGAGTGAAAAGCTCAGGGACAGTGCCCAGGCCCCGAGTTCAACCCCATGACTTGTGTCTAACAAGACATACCATCGATAGGATAGTCTGTCCTCAGTGTCAGTCTGTGAATAGATGGTAAGTAAATTCCACCAGAAATGGAGTGATTTTTCCCTTCATGAATGATTTCTGAGAACACACTTGGAGACTTAAGTATTTTTTTCCACTAAATATCAGCCTCCAAGGTGTAATAACAGTTTTTAGGAATTTTCAAAGTAATCATTACTGCTTGTTAACTGCTATTCTACTGTCAGGAACTCAGTTATTAATAACATCAGGACTAACAACTGTTTGTACTATACATGAGGATCCCATCAATTACTATACATTTTTATTTCAATTCTCAATTAGATGACATTATAAATTTACTTCAACTATGTATCTCTCTTAAAAAGTGAAAACTTATTGCTGAAACAAAATCTCATCCCAAATAAGATATTAACATCTGGATCACTTCCTACTTGGATCTATTTGTATATCTCTTTATTTTTTTCTCTAGCTCTTTCCCTCTAGTGTAGGGAAAAGAATCTGCATGTTTCATTTACTGACTAAATTCAAAGGGAAAGGAACAAACACTTGAAATTATGGTCCCTTTCCAAAGCCTTTAATTTTCTGGTGGGACAGGTAAATTGGTATCTTTTAAATTTAACTATCCCATGTTTTACATTTTGCAAAGAATCAAAGTTTGAAGAGAGTATATAAGCTTGGTATATGGTTCTGATGCTTTTTAAAATCACTAACAGTTCACAGCAATGGAATCTCCTTGAGGGTTTCATGCCTACTTCATTTAACATAAAAAACTGAAGCATATCAAAAACAATTCAGCATTCTTTAAGGTTCTTACCACAATCATTTCTGAAGGCTCTAATACAAGACAATCACATCCTCTTTTTCCTCCAAACTGCTTACCAAAACTATAAAAACAGAAAAATAATTTCTTTAGAAGTTATAAAGTATTTCAATATAGGAAACAAATAAAAAATCCTGAGAGGTTAATTTAAAAATGCTGGTCTTCTATCTTTCCTCTTAATTATCCAGATATAACAAATATTAATATAGTTCTATACAAAAATTCCATTTCAATTTCTGACTTTAATTAGTCCCTAAAATTAGTTACAAAATTAAATTCCAAACATCTGTAATTCAGTACTGCTGAATTAAAGGAAAAATTTACCTAAGAAGGAATGATAGCATAGTAACATATTTCACAAAATAAAAAAAACTATATATATTAAATTATAGAAAACATTAGTATTCACATGTATAAAGAAATGGAAACAAGATAGCTTATTAAAACAAATTGCTTTAAGCCAGTGGCTATTTCTTTGTTAAAAACTGAATATTAAAAGAAAAAATTATTTTTATATTCTTAGTCTGAGAGAAAGATTTCTATGCAAATAAAAACCAGAAAGCAGCCAGACATCAGTGCCTTCAATCAGTTATCAAAGCTCCTCAGAGGGCTGAGATCTAAAGACAGTAGGCCAGTTTGAGCAGAGAAATCCATAAGAGAAGTACAGTCTAGCAAAAGAGCTAGACTGGAGGTGTGGCTGAAGTGGTAGAGTGCTAGCCATAAGCGGAAAAAGCTGAACAAGAGCATGAAGACTCCCAAGTTCAAGCCCGACATTGGCACAAAAATCCATCAATAAGTAAAACCAGAAAACAATCATTTCCTTCGTTCCTCCCTCCACAAACTAAGAGTGGTAACTCACATATATACTAGCTACATAGTAGGCATTAGTAGGAAGACGGTAGTCTGAGGGGAAAATAAGTGAGACCTTTTATGAAAATTAAAACAAAATGGGCAAGGGGCATGACTTAAGTGGTAGAGTGTTTGATGATCTAGATACTTGAGTAGACTCTGCATTCAAATGCCAGTACCATGGAGAGAAAGACAAAAGAGACAGCAGGGGCAAAGGAAGGAGAGGCGAAGGAGGGAGAAGGAGTGCACAAGAGAGCACCTATGGGGAACAAGCAGTGGCCATCAGCACAAGAAGAAGTGTTCAATAATATTATGCATCAGAAAATCACCTCACACTAAGATGCTGAAGTAAAAGGCTGACTGACACCAATGGTGGCAGCAATATGTAAAATAGAACCTCAAACTCCCACATATTGCTGTTGGGAGTCTAAGTGATACATACGCTGTGGAACTATTTAGGTATACAGCAAGCCCTACTTATTTCCCTCCTTATTTGTCGATGCCATTACAAGTGGTTTTGGTCAAAATGAGAATACACATACATACATTATGCAGCTCAGTTGATGCTGAGAAGCTCTTAGTTCCACATTTTATCATCAGTGATGTTTATATCATTGTGTGATTTGTTAAGTGTTCCCTTCCCTGTAATTTTATGAAAATGTGGCTTCCAGAAAGCAAATGATGCCCAAGAAACAAATGTGGCGGGGCTGGGAAGGTGGCTCAGTGGTACAGCGCTTGCCTTGTATGCCTGAGGCCCTGGGTTCCATTCCTCAGCACCACATAAGCAAAAAGAAAAAAAGCCGGAAGTGGTGCTGTGGCTCAGTGGTAGAGCGCTAGCCTTGAGCTGAAGAGCTGAGGGACAGCGCCCAGGCCCAGAGTTCAGGCCCCATGACTGGACCCAAAAACAAACAAACAAACAAACAAACAAAAGAACAGATATGGCAATCTTCCTAAGCCAAAAAAGGCATGCAACATGCTTAATAGAACTGTTAAAGGAAAGTATTAAGATTTGTTGAAATGCAGCATATCTTTAATGGAAGTTTGGAAAAACTGAAATGAAAAAATTTTAGATCAAAGTGAAGGTGCTGGGAAGGTGGCTTAGGGGTAGAGTGCTCGCCTTGCATGCATGAGGCCCTGGGTTCAATTCCTCAGCACCACATAAACAGAAAAAGCCGGAAGTGGTGCTGTGGCTCAAGTGGCAGAGTGCTAGCCTTGAGCAAAAGAAGCTCAGGCACAGACCCAGGTCCAGAGTTCAAGCCCCATAACCAACAACAACAAAAAAATCAAAATGAAAAATTTAGTGGAAAATGAGTAAAGCAGAGTACTTATAATAGAGCATGAATAAGATCTAGTTTTTAGTGAGCAGCATTTATCTGTGCAGCGGTAATTTTAGTGATGGTAATGTAACCTACTCCATACAGTACAGAGCCTCAGATGGAATAGGTAAATTTGAGTAATTTTAGAGCACTGAATTCTATGCACCTTGAGCATTCATGATTTTTCTTCAACATTGATCTTCTTGAAGCCATATGCCTGCAGGTTCTACTGCGTATCATAAACAGTACTTCTATTAAACATTAAGATACTGCTGGGCTCAGAAAAGGATTTGAAAATATGTAGTGCACTTCAAACAAAAAGCACCTGCAAAGCACAACAAATGCAGAGAACAGCTTTTCTCCCAAGTTCCATTATCCATTTAAAGACTCCACCAAAAATGAAAACAATCTATTATCCTCTTTATTCTCCTTAGTCCATCCATGAAGACTAAATTTTTATCACAGGAAAAAGAGATTCAAGGTCAAGCATTATACCCCAAGGCCAGTGGAACACTGTCCCAAGTTACTATCTTCTCTTCAGACATAATAATCTCCTCTAAAATCATTTGTCTCCAAAATCACCTATGGATGCCCAGGTCTCCCAATCCTATGAAGGGCAATGAGCTTCCAAATCTCATTGCAATATTGGGTGCTCTCCTCCTGTGAACAAAAATGTGTGTGTGTGTGTCTTCTGAACTTAAAAAGTGTGCCAAGAGACTCCCCTCGACTGCAGTAAAAGGTAGAGCTACAGCAATTTCATTGGTGTGATCTTTAAGCATGGATAGATGAAATCTATCAGGTTAGAAGCTCACACGGGCAAACCCATATGTGGGTATTTGACTTCCAAAAGAAGTGTGAGCTGGAAAAGGGAAGACATGTACCCATATGGAGAACAATCTAACACAATATGACATCTCAAAATCAATTGTAGATAACTACAGATCTAATTATGAAACAAAAAAAAATGGTCTACAAGTTCTCTCTCTTCCTTTTTAATCTCTGTATTTGTGTATATTAACTATTTTTTTCCTCATAAGAATTTCATATGCAAGTTGTTGGGAGCAAATTATATGGTAGTTAACAGAATATTCAGAGACATAATGATGAGCTATGTCATTAGTATTTCTGGTAATACTTCTAACAATATTAATTGTTGAACACACATGTCTCATTTGTCCTGTACTTTACCATGTAGAAACAAAGCTGTTCTTCCAATGAATGAATACCAAATGTGATTACAAGCACTCACTTACAAGCTAAGCAGCCAAGGGAATGAACAGTGCCAGTTACTTTTGGTTCTCAGCTTGAAATCTATCCTTCATTACTCTATTTTGTGATGAAGTAAATTTTGTAAATGTTCTTCCTTCCCAGGAAGAATGTTAAAGATTTATCAGTAGAGGGATACCACAAGGAGGAAGGTTTTCTCATCCTTTTCTCCAGCTTTGAAGCCCATCTGCATCTTGGGGTAAAAGGTGAGGGAGAGGAGGTATGGTTCTTGTTTCTCAGGACTGGTCATGGGTTCTCCTCCTACCAGTCTGGCCCAACTCTGACCTCAGGCAGCACTGACCTTCTCTTCCACTGGGCTGCAACTAACATTTTCAAGTCTGAATTCCAGTCTTGGAGATAGGGTCTCCCTTTCATTTATTCTCCCTTAGGTGTAGTGTGTTCTCCCTTATCTTTTTTGGTAGCTACTCTTTTCTACAATTAGTAATTCTTTAAACTGTACCTGTAGAAAAATTGGCTATCTTTAAATAAACTAAGATGCAACTATTACTCCTTGTCCGTATCAGGTAGTGATCGTATCTTATTGGTATCATATTGATTATACAGCCAACTGCTACTATGCTCCTTTATAACTATATCGACAGAAGCCCAAAATTTATTTGATGACTTATAGGCTAAGACTTGTTTTACTTATATTAAATCATAACAATCACAGTACAATAACATCTGTCATGAAAAAACAAATCCCTTACCTAGAAGTATTTTATAAAATTAAATAAACTTTTGATGTGCTATGAAATTCACAATGGCAACATTAATGCATACCATATCTCCATGTTTATAAAATTCCATACATTCTTATCAACTGATGTCAAAAACTTAAACTTCAATGTCTTGATTACAAACTGATGGGTACATTTTTATAGCCAATTAATGGCTACAAAAAATCTTGACCATTTAGAACACCAAAGCAGGGGAAAAAAATATTAAAAAGATGGGCTGGGAAGGTGGCTCAGTGGAAGGAAGAGCGCTTGCCTTGCATGCCTGAGGCCCTGGGTTCCATTCCTCAGCACCACATAAGCAGAAAAAGCCAGAAGTGGCACTGTGGCTCAAGTGGTAGAGTGCTAGCCTTGAGCTGAAGAGGGACAGAGCCCAGGCCCAGAGTTCAGGCCCCACGACTGATTCCAAAAAAAAAAAAAAAAAAAATCAAAAGAATCCTAAATATAAATCCTAAAACATAACCTATATAACATCAACACAAATTTCTATCTCAGTGGCTACTCAATACAGATTCAGCAATGTGAATTTTACAAATACAAAAGAAAGAATACTCAAAAGGCTTATATAACCAAGAATATATATAGCATTTGTAAAAAACAATAGTCAATTGTTTTTATTATACTCACCAAGAATGTTTCATTTAATCAAAAAGCAAAGTTTTAGGAATTTAGATGCCAATATTTAAAAATGATATCAAGACTGAGAGGTCCAAACCTTGATATTTAATAGTTAGGCTGCTAAATTAATTTAGCTGCAATTTCAAGTCTCCATAACCATAATTTGAACTCCAAAATCTGAAGAATTGTTAACAGAAAATCCTCTAGGAAAACCACATTTCACTATCATCCCAAACCTTGTTCTTTTACTTTTAATGATAATAATTAACAACTGTTCATAATTCACAACTTCTTTTAAGAGCCAGGCACTATCCTAAGAAATTTATGCATACTAATTCATGTATTTCCCAAAACAAGCCTATGAAACAGGTTCCATTGTTGTACCCATTTTATTTCATTGCCGGTCGTGGGACCTGAACTCTGGGCCTGGGCACTGTCCCTCAGCTCTTCAGCTCAAGGCTAGCGCTCTACCACTTGAGCTACAGCACCACTTCTGGCTTTTTCTGCTTATGTGGTGCTGAGGAATTGAACCCAGGGCCTCATGCATGCAAGGCAAGCACTCTACCACTGAGCCACCTTCCCAGTCCTATTGTACCCATTTTAGCAAGGCGCAAACTGAGGCACAAAGAGATTTTTAGTAATTTGTCCAAGATGTGGTAGAGTACAACATGAATTCAGGCAGTACAGCTCTAGAGTATGAACCTTTTTAGAAATTTTTGTTGATAATTTGAGTAGGAGAGCTTATAAAGAACTACATGACAACATTTATTTTCCATATTTTACAGATGAAAGTTAAAAACTGTCCAGGAGGGACTGTGAAGGTGGCTCAGTGGTAGAGTGCTTGCCTTGCATACATGAGGCCCTGGGTTCTATTCCTCAGCACCACATAAGCAGAAAAAGCCGGAAGTGGTGCTGTGGCTCAAGTGGTAGAGCCCTAACCTTGAGATGAAGAGCTGAGGGACAGTGACCAGGCCCATTTTCTTAACTATTATAATACATTGTTTTTCAATAGTAACAATAAATCCAAAAACCACTAGATGAAGCTGAACAACTCTCATGAAACAAAGTTCAAATAGGGAAAAGATATCATATCATGGTGTAAAATTAAAAGATTATAGCCTCAGAAATATGAAACATTAGTTGATATTAGTTGTCAAATATCTTCACATTGCTTAAAGAATATTTAGTGATTGGAGGCATGCGTCAGTTGGTAGAGATCCTGCCAATGAGCAAAAAAGGTCAAGTACCAAGTATGTGTTCTGGTCTTGGTTAAAAAAAAGTATTTAAAAAATATAGTATTAGGGCTGGGAAGGTGGCTCAGTGGTAGAGCGCGTGCCTTGCATGCCTGAGGCCCTGGGTTCCATTCCTCAGCACCACATAAGCAAAAGGAAAAAAGCTGGAAGTGGTGCTGTGGCTCAAGTGGTAGAGCGCTAGCCTTGAGCTGAAGAGCTGAGGGACAGCGCCCAGGCCCAGAGTTCAGGCCCCAGGACCGGACCCAAAAAAAAAAAAAAAAAAAAAAGAAAAAAAAGAAATATATATATATATATATATATATATAGTATTAAAAAATACACATATTACATAAAATAGTTTAATATAAAAGATAAACAGCTATAATGTTAACGCAAAAAGTTAATGTAGGGGCTGGGAAGGTGGCTCAGTGGTAGAGCACTTGCCTTGCATGCCTGAGGCCCTGGGTTCAATTCCCCAGCACCACATAAGCAAAAAAAGAAAAAAAAAGCCGGGGCTGGGAAGGTGGCTCAGTGGTAGAGCACTTGCCTTGCATGCATGAGGCCTTGGGTTCAATTCCTCAGCACCACATAAGCAGAAAAACCTGGAAGTGGCACTGTGGGCTCAAGTGGTAGAGTGCTGGCTTTGAGCTGAAGAGTTCAGGGACAGCATTCAGGCCCAGAGTTCAGGCCCCATGACCGACAAAAAAAAAAAAAAAAAAAAGCCGAAGTGGCGCTATGGCTCAAGTGGTAGAGCGCTAGCCTTGAGCTGAAGAGCTGAGGGACAGCGCCCAGGCCCAGAGTTCAGGACCCACGACCAGACCCAAAAAAAAAAAAAGTTAATATAGCTGGGTATAATAGGACATGCCTATAATCTCAGCATTTGGGAGGCTAATAATACTAGAGTATTGCAGACCAGTCTGGGGTATATAGCGTGACTGTTTTAAATAAAAGTTAATATACACTTACCTGCAAGGAGGCAAGACCATGGAGTCTTTCACAAGTACAGATCCAGAAAGCAGTATATACCAACATCTGGCAATAGTTTCTGAACTGTTCAAAGACAGAAAGTAAATGATTAAACAAACATGTTCATCTGTATATGGATTTAGTAAGTACACGTTGAAATATACAACACAGAATAAATACTGATAATACTGCAAGTAATTAAAAGTAGAATGCTGGAAATTCAGAGGTTAAGACCTTATATAAACCATGATCACATGAGGGAAAAAAAAAAAAACTAGGAAATTCTTAACAGGGTCACAGAAATGTGAAAAACACATTACTTTGAAAAAGAAATGCAATGAACACAGTGAAAATACTTTTAGCCAGGCACCAGTGGCTCGTGCTGATAATCCTAGCTACTCAGGAGGCTGAGATCTGAGGATTATGGTTCAAAGTCAGCCCAGGCAGGAAAGTCCATGAGATTTTTATCTCCAGTAACCACAAGAAAACTGGAAGTGGCACTGTGGCTCAAAGTGATACAGCGTTAGTCTTGAGTACAAAAGCTCAGGGACAGCACCCTGAGTTCAAGCCCCCTGACCAACAACAACAACAAAAAATCCCCCACAAACTTTTAATATATAGAATCAGCCCATCTTAGAGGCTGTGATAAAAACTGTCACATAAATATGGAGGCTTGGGCTTAGGAATGTGGCTTCGTGGTATAGTACTTGCTTAGCATGCATGAAACCCTGGGTTTGATTCCTTAGTACCACTAAACAGAAAAAGCCGGAAGTGGCTCTGTGGCTCAAGTGGTAGAGTGCTAACTTTGGGCAAAAGAAACTCAAGGACAGTGCCCAGGCCCTAAGTTCAAGCCCCAGGACTGGCCAAAAAAAAAAGGAGGCTTATTGAGTACCACCAATAATAAAAGTATAAATATTTAGGTTTTTACTATCCAATATTACATTTCACTGTTAACTTTTATCAAATTTATTCTAAATAAGGAAAAATCTGGAAAAACTAAAGCATTTGGTAAAAAGTAATTACTTGAATAGGAAAATTATAAAGCATCATATAGAAGTTATGTTTAATGGCTTTATGTTTTAGAAAAAAAATACCAATTTAATTATAAAGCCACAAGTCCTTTAATATGGCCTTAATTTTTTCATCTATGATACTGATTGGCAGTAAAACTTTTCAAGAAAAAAAACCACACCATCATAATCTTGGGGATGGGGAAAACTTTTTTAAAAACATGTCATGAAAATGAGAGATTTTCTTTTACAAGATGCTAGAGCTAGGCAGCAGTGGCTCATGCCTATAATCCTATTCAGGAGGCTGAGATCTGAGGATCAAAGTTTAAAGTCAGCCCAAGAAGGAAAGTCTGTAAGACTTCTAAAAAGCTGGAAGTATCATTGTGGTAGAAGGTTAACCTTGAGCAAAAGCAGCTTGGTGACAATGCCCAGGCCCAGAGTTCGAGCACCAGGACCCACCAAAAAAAACCCACCCCATCCCCCCCAAAAAAAGGTATCACAAATAGGTGATCCACCAGGTGGCTCATGTCTGTAATCCTAACTATGCAGGAGACTGAGATCTCAGTTCAAAACCAGACCAGGAAGGAAAGTCGGTGAGACTCATCTCCAATTAACCACCAAGAAGTCAGAAATGGGGCTGTGGCTCAAGTATAGGAGTGTTAGTCTTGAGCAAAGAAGGTCAGGGACAGCGTCCAGGCCATGGTTTTCACACACCCACACATACACGTGTCATAAATAGAATAAGATAGATATACAGTAAGAATATCTAACCGAGGATTTGTATTCAGAATTCATAAAAGATTTATTATTTTTAATTAATTGTCCTAAGGGGTTTCATATTTCAATGTGTTTATTTAAGAGCACAATGCATCTTCATCAATGTAATTTGACCTCTTTTTGAACTTATGGATAGAATCTTGTTTACAAATCAAAAGAAACACAATAAATATGATCAAAAATTTAAATTAGGATTTCACAGGCTATCGAAATAACCTATAAAAACATGAAAATCAGGCTAGAAGACATAGTTCAAGTGGTACACTGTCTAGGAAACACAATGGCCCCAGTTCAAACCCAAGTATTGCCAAACGAACAAGAAGAATATGGAAGTCATTCAATACCATTTGTAAACAGAAAAACGTAAAATAAAATCATGAGACAATGAATAATCAACAGAATGGCTAAATTCCAAAATAAGCAAAAAATGGTTATAATAGGAGTGGAACAACTGAAATATTACTATACACAACTAATAGATATTTATTTATTTTTGTTGGTCATGGGGCTTGAACTCTGGGCCAGGACGCTATCCCTCAGCTCTTCAGCTCAAGGAGAGCGCTCTATCACTTGAGCTACAGCACCACTTCCAGTTTTCTAGTGGTTTATTGGACATAGGAGTCTCACGGTCTTTCCTGCCCAAGCTGGCTTTGAACCACGATGCTCAGAGCTCAGCCTCCTGAGTAGCTAGGATTACAGGTGGGAGCCACCGGCGCCCGGCTGGTTTAACTTTTAGAAAACTGTAAATCTCTAGCAATTCCTAGAAAGCTGAATAGGAGGAATGGATAGAGTATTAAAAGATACAAGCAAAATGTTCACAATGAAGCTTATTTACAATAGTAAAAATCTAGAAGCAATCCACAGATGTAGTGACAGTAGAATGAATAAATTTACATTATAGCAATAAAAAAGAACAAATGCAAAGCATTAAAGAACCTTGAACTATTTGCTATGAAAAAAATCTTGTTAGTCAAATTATTTTGACCCCAAAATTCAAAAAGAAGTCAAATTATATTGATCAAGATTCATTATACTCATGAACTGATAAGTTAAATTGAAACCCCTTTATACAATTAAATTTAAAAATAACACACATTAACTTGGAGTCATTGAAATTTGAATATTTGACCATCTTTCCAAAACAGTTTTCCTGACCCTTCTAGAAAGCTCATTTCATTAGCAGCAACAGTTACAAAGTGTATATACTTTAAAAACTTTGCTGTACTATTTTTTGTGTTTTATACATTTTTAGAAAATGTGTTTTCTGCTCAGGGGCTCATGCTCTTGCTATCTTGCTCAAGGCTGGCTCTCTACCATTTGAGTCACACCTCCCCTTACAATTTTTCTGCTGGTTAATTGGAGATAATGGTGCCTTGGATTTGTCTACTTAGGCTAGCTTTGAGCCTCAATCTTTATATTTCAGCCTCCTGAACAACCAGTACTTGGCTTTTTGTTTTATACTTCATAGTTCATGAATATATTTCAATTTGCTCTACAAAAATTGTCCACCATCAAAATAGTTTCAATGTTAAAAGTCAAAATTTAGCTGGCGCTGGTGGCTCATGCCTGTAATCCTAGCTACTCAGGAGGCTGACATCTGAAGATCGCAGTTCGAAGCCAGCCTAGGCAAGAAAGTCTATGAGACTCTTATGTCCAATAAATTACTCAAAAAAAAAAAAAAAAAGGCTCAAATGGTAGAGCACTAGTCTTGAGCACAAAGAGGCTCAAGAACAGAGCCCAGGCCCAGAGTTCAAGCCTCAGAACTGGCACACAAAAAAAAGGTCAAATTTAAACCAATGTCGTTAACTTAAGCTAATCATGAAAATACTTACCAAAAAAGTATTTGATTGCCACTGTATCTCTCATAGCGTGCTCTTTCAGACATTAACCTAGTATTAAAAAAAGTAGATTTTGAAAATTATTTTACCTTAAATCCTGTTACAAAATTCCATCCTATCAACAGAAAATTATCAATTCTAAATTTTCACTAAAGTACAAGTGCTTAAAATATATATAGTGAAATAATAGTTTTATAAAAGAAAATAGTATTAAGTGGCACCAACTATAATATTCTTGTGATGTAAGAGCTTTCAATCTACCTCAAATAATATTCTTTTTTTATGAAAAACTATGTAGTTGTCTGCTCTACTACAGTGCCCTGGTATTACTAACAAAGGCATACTAACACCAGGAAAAAAATATGTAAATTTGTTTGCATTTCAATTTAATATTAATAAGTACTCCAATTTTCATTTTCTTTTTTTCTGTCAACTTATTTGATATACACTAACTTGAATTATATGTGTATGTGTGTGTTCATAATCAGAAACTTGAGATATACACAGGAAAAATAATTTTAAAAAAAGGGTTATGGATACCTAACATGTTTAATAAATGTTATATGAAAAAGTTAGTAGTAGGCTGCGAAGGTTGCTCAGTGGTAGAGCACTTGCCTTGCACGCATGAGGTCCTGGGTTCGATTCCTCGGCACCACATAAGCAGAAAAAAAAAAAGCCACTAGTGGCGCTGTGGCTCAAGTAGTAGAGTGCTAGCCTTGAGCTGAAGAGCCGAGGGACAGCACCCCAGGCCCAGAGTTCAGGCCCACGACCAGACACCCCCCCCCCCCAAAAAAAAAGTTACTAGTTAGTGCATTAAAGCACCCTCAAGTATTTTAACAAATAAAATCACAATAGTGTAAGAGAAGAAGCAATTAAGGTTCAAAAAATGTATTAGTCTTGTCCACAGAAACTTATACTACATCAAGGGTCCTGTTTTTTCCGCTTTAGTAAAATATGGTGATAAGTAGTAGCCATAAGTGATGGAAAAATGTAAAGGCAATCTAAAATATAATTAAATTTCCCAACGCTCAGATAACTATAGCCTTATAGAGACTAGACCTAGAGATAGGAATTTCTCATAAGTAATCTCAATAATCATTCAAGCCCCAAGGCTAATCCTGGTGCTCTCATCAGAGAGAAAAACCCATTTTCAGTTTATTGAACATTTGTAACAGGTATTTAATACTATTTTTGTTGCCATCAATAAACTAAAAGCAAGAGGAAAGCCTGGCACTTGTGCTTACATTTTGTGTCTGTCTTCGTTCTATTAATAACATTTTTATTGCAGGAACTAAAACTACCCCTAAGGAAAGCAGTCTTGTAGGACAGACTCTTCCCTAATGAGGATAATTACCAATAATGCTCATATTTCACCTTGATGGGAACTAGATTATTCCTCTCAAGTGATGACAGTGGTTAACAACTTCTCTTAAACCTGGGAAAATTAGAACTGAGATAATGTCCAGCCAGGCTATACCTGTAACCAGGACTCTTAAAACTATGCATACCACTGTCCTCTATTTAAACCTAATAATCAAGTCTGTACCCCAAAGATGCCTGAAGATGAATGAAAGTGCCATATTTCCATGGGATCATGCCACATAATCTCTTTCTCTATGGTGTTTCTTTTCCTGTCACTTTCACAATGTTCTCATCTTGCATGATTTTTCTCACACAAGCAGGAAGGACTGAAACTAACCAGCAGGGCTAAATTTCTGATAATACCATGTCCATCTTAAACATGTAACATAATATCAACTCAAAGTAAAAAAAAAAAAAAAAAAAAGAGGGCTACTGTTTTTAACTACCCAGCACATACTCAGAGAGCACTGAACTCTGCTTTATTTTTATTTTTTTTAAACTATGAACAGTCTTTCTTGGCTCTTTCTTGCTGAAAACATACTTCAGTAGAGAGGCATTAAATGACCACCTAAAGTCAAGCAGCTACCCAGTTCATTAATTTAACATTACCATGATTTATTGTATTCAAAGTATTAGATTGTTTTTCCCCAAGACCCAACCCGAATCAACCCCAACTGATATAAAACACAGGAAAACTAGGCATCTAATCTGTAAGTATATTCCAAGTGTCTAAAACAGGAGGAGGCTTGTAAAAAACGTTTAACAGATACCTATTAATAAATAACTACAGAGCATATGCTGTGTGGTTAAATAAGGCACATACTTACCTCAGTTGATGTTCCCTGAGATTTGATAGTATTTCCATTCCATGAAGGTAAGAATAAATAGTATTTAAGTCCTGTGGAACAGAAAGGTTTTTAGATTACTTTTCATCTTGGCATTTAAGTAATGATGACTCACAATTCTGATTGTAAACACACAATTATTTACTACAGAGCTATATTAAGTATGGAAGAGTCACAGTAATCTCTCAATTACAAAAGACTGCAAAGGTAAGGAAGATTCCTTCTACATTCATGGCTAAGGGTCACTACTCAAATGCTGTATTAACCATAATGGGTTAAACAAATATATCTATCTGTTAAAAGCTTACTAAGTTGACACTGAAGATGATTTTAAGTGTACAAAAAGGATAGATTAAAAGAAGAAAACAGGCTCATGCCTATAATCCTAGCTACTCAGGAGGCTGAGATCAGAGGATATTGGTTCAAAGCCAGCCCAGGCTCAGTGAGACTTTGATCTCCAATAAACTACTAGAAAAAAAAACCAGAAGTGAAGCTGTAGCTCAAGCTGTAGAGCACTCGCCTTGAGCTGAAGAGCGTAGGGACGGTGCCCAAGCCCAGAGTTCAAGCCTCATGACCGACAAAAAAAAAAAAAAAAAAAAGAAGAAAACACGGTAGATAAAATAGGTCTATAAAGTATCCGATAAACTAATTGATAATAGTTTATATTTGATAAAGCAAATTATATTTTCAAAGATGGCCACAAAGGTATTTCTCATGTCATATCTACACTTCTGCAACAGAACCTTGTCACTCCTCCATCAAAAACTGGAATCTGTGTGCTTTCCTGGGTCGGATTTGTGACTTGCTCTGACAGAAAGGCTGCATAACTTCTGAGATTTTAATACAGTGAGACTAGCAACATGGTACAGAGATCCAAGCCAGTCTCGGAGAAAGAAAAAGGCTCCCTGTAATAATACCAATGAGATGTCAACTTAGACAAGCCATCCTACCAAGTGAATGGAACTGAGAATGATCCAGTTCAAAGGTCTGTGGGACAAAAGATGCAACCATACAAACAAAATCTGCTAAATGGAATAATATAATCCTGGCAAAAGCCTGGCTTACAATAGATCCACTGCACCTAGAGATCCATCTAATAATGGTTATTCTTTATCCCCTGTATATACTTGGAAGTGAGAGTAACTTCCACAGTGGGATCATGACCTGTTTTATACTAAGAGCTGGGCAAATGGAAGCCAAATGAAAACATCTGAAGTTACCTCATCCCCCTCCAACAAACAAACAAGACAGCAAACAACTCTATGTAATTTGTGGGGGCCTTGGAGAAAATAAAACCCTTGTAAAATGACTGTGTAAACTACCATAGACTTAATCCAATTCTAGCAGTGATCACAGACATATTCTCTCTCAGACCTATATATCATAGCTACTTGAGAAGTAACCTCCTGAAGATATTTGGCTAATGAATTTTTTCCATTCTAATTACATTTTATCAGAAACAGTTTGCATTCACATGGGGGCAATATTAACGTATGAGTTTGGGTTAAAGCTATTCTAACTTTCCTATTCTGTCGTAACAGTCTAAACACATGTAGATCTCCTCACCTACTACACAGATGGCCTCATGCAGATGAACAGAAGAATAAGCCAGTGGTGGTTGGAACCCTTGGTGTACTTGATAGCATCCACATGCTCCATAGATGCATTAAAAGACTCAAGACTTGACACTTAGAAATTTCTAAGGCTACACTGTGTGGGATATATGTCAGAACATCCCATCCAAAGAAAAATACCAACTGCTGGGATTTGAGCATTAGGTCAAAGTGGAGGAAAAGGGATTGAACTCACCATTCTCATAAAAAGGTACAGGCTTCTGCACTGCTGAAGAGGCTATGTGGCCAGCCAGGACAGAGCAGTACTACACAGAGATAAGGATCCATTACCTCTGCCTATGTTGCTCCTGTAGCACATGTTCCCTATGTCTACTGTCAGTAATTTATATGAGGTTAAAGAGTATATACTTTTCTGTGTTACTAACTCCCATTAGGACTGAGGGGTCTGTATCATTGGAGTCAAGGGGAAAGCTGCCACAGCTTCCTGGATCTGAGTCTGGCTTCCGGGACACAGCTGCCTCTAGGCATTCTTGAGTCCTTGTCTTCCTCCTCCTACCCAGGGCTGGACAGTGAAAAGGTGGCAAGCCTCGAGGCTTGCTGGTGTTGGGCCTGAGCAAAGGTAGTATGTGCTGAATGGTAACAAGTAGTTAGAGACAAGATTCCTCTTGGATGTTGACTCCCAGGGTTGGGGAAGGCTCTGTGTGACAATGTAATTGTGTATGAGTGAAGGCTTGTGGGATCTGTGAATTAGCAAGCTACAGCTACTGCTCCAGCCTGACCAGACAGCCAAATAAAGGAGTTGTCTTGGCAGTCCTTCTCCCCCAAAACTGCTAAAAATAAATACAAATATATAAACCATGTTCTATTTTTCAAATCGAGAGAATAACAAAAACTAAAAGACAGTGACAAATGTGAGGGAATAAACAAATGAGATGGTTCATATGATTACCCTACCTTACTGCCTGGTGACATTTTGAAGTGATCTGTCAGTTGGGGAGTAGGAAGTAGCTAGAACTTACACAGCAGGAGGTACAGGAAAGGGTACTACTCAAACAATGGGTTCCAGAAAGCCACGGAAATTCTCTTTGGAGTGGGTAGTAATGATCACATCCAAATATCTAAAGTAAGGTTAAAAAAAAAACCAAAAAACTCCTGAACAGGCAGGGTGTGGTGGTGCACAAACAGAAGCCAAACAAGATTCTAAGTTAAAGGGCTAGCCCAGGCTACATAAGGAGTTTGAAGCCAGCTTGGGCTATCAAAAAACAAAATAAAGCCACAATCCAAAGGCTTATGCCTGTGATGCTAACTACTCAGGAGGCTGAGATTTGAGGACTGCAGTTCAAAGATAGCACAAGAAGGAAAATCCCTTAATTCCTGTTAACCACCAAAAAGCCAGAGGAGAACAGAGGCTCAAGTGGTAGAGTGCAAGCCTTGAACACAGAAGCTCAGTAACAGCACCTAGGCCCCAAGTTCAAGCCACAATCATGTGGACAGGAGAGGGCTCCAGAAAAAAGGATTAACTGGGCCAAAATGTCAATGTTGTTAGATTAGTGAAACAATGACCAAAACTTTCACAGAGACAGTAAGAGCTCCTTTTCTCATCAGCCAGACTATAAAACTCACACCATTCTTCCTGGAATATTCAGAATGCTTTGGACTCAAGAGAGTCCAGGCTAAATAGTACTCTAGTGCTAGACAACATAGCTCAAAGCAAGATCCAAAAGTTGGCTTCCTAGTTACTTAAGGCCCTTTCAAACAGTTACACTTCCAAACTGCTTCCAAGTTACTTGAATCAAAAATATCTTTCTAGCAACTTCAAGATACAATTCACAATTTGGAGCACCAAATCAAATACTCTGGATATAAAGAAACAGGAGAAAAAAAAAAAAAGAGCTAGCCTTAGAAGGAAAATAAATCAAAACTGACTTCCCAGGCATAGTAGTATATACCTATCATCCCTGAGGAGGTAGAAGGATCAAACTGGACTACATATAAAGATCTCTCAAACAGAAAATGAACAAGAAGAAAAAACTCAATTAACTCAATTACTAAGGCAACAGAACTGGGAAAAAGACATTTCAAAGTTTATTTTATATGTATAGTCCTTATTCTAAGATGATACAAAGAAGAGTAAACATGTAAGAGGCATTTTTTTAAAAATTAGGGCTAAAGGTGTAACTCAAGAGATAGAGTGCTGGGGCTGGGAAGGTGGCTCAGTGGTAGAGCGCTTGCCTTGCATGCTCGAGGCCCTGGGTTCAATTCCTCAGTACCACATAAGCAAAAAGAAAAAAGCCGGAAGTGGCGCTGTGGCTCAAGTGCTAGAGCGCTAGCCTTGAGCTGAAGAGCTGAGGGACAGTGCCCAGGCCCAGAGTTCAGGCCCCACAACCAGACCCAAAAAAAAAAAAAGAGATAGAGTGCTTGCCTAAGTTACACAAGGTCATAGGTTAAATTCCAAGAAAGAAAGAGACGAGCAAAAGGGAACAAAGATACTATTGAAGATTTTAAAAAATGCACAAAAAGAAACATACACTGGATAGGACTAACAACGAAGAATGGTGTTAAGACTAATAAGGACAAAAAAACAGAAATTAGAAAAAAAAAAAAAAAAAAAAAAAAAGACCAAATATAAACACAGTACCAATGAGCTACATGGGCTAACTTTGTTTAGCCTAACATAACTAGTCACAACTTGGGGGACAAAACAGTAAAAATTTTAGAATAGTAAATATTCTCCAAATTTGATGAAAACTATAATCCCACAAATAATCTACGAAGCAAGCACAGGAAATCAGAGGAGGGACAGATGAAGTGGCTCATAGCGATCATCTCAGATACTTAGGAGGCAGAGATCAGGAGGATTACGGTTCAAACCAGTCCAGGCAAAATGTTAGCAAGACCCTCATCTCGACTGAGCACTTACACCTGTCATCTTAGTTATGGGGAAGGCATAGTTAAGAGATTCTAGGCCTGCCCAAGCAAAAATGCAAAACTCAATCTGAGAAGTAAAGCAAAAAAGGGCTAGAGAACCTGCTTGGTTTCACATTATAGCCAAACTGCTGTAAAAGTAATAGAGAAGACTAAAAAAGCAGCAGAGAAAGAAAACAAATTACATAAGGAGAAACGAGAATTAAAATTACAGTGGTTGTCAAAAATAACTCAATCAACAAGATGCTGAAAATAATATCATTAAAGACTGGCATGCGGGGAGGGGGGAGATGAGGATTATGGATTGTGTATGCAAAGAGAGAATGATGACACTACTAACCTGAAATTCTATTCCTAGTCATAATACTCTTCAACATGAAATATTTTCAAATAAGTGACAACAAAATTTTGTTATCTGCAGACCTGCTCTACAAAAAAAAAAAGTTAAAAGTCCTACATTAGCAGACACTAGACACTATGTTGAAAATGAACTATACAACTTGAGGGTGGGGACAGGAGGGAAAAACAGAGAGGGAAGGGGTGACACTGAGAAG